ATTAGTCTAGGATCATGATTAGTACTTAAAAGTGCATTTTTATTAAGGTTTTATGTCATCATTTTGCACTTTAAGTATCAATGACTCCTTAACTAAAACATGTTTTATAATACAAGTCTGATATCATAAGATACCTTTAATGTATGGTAAATATTCATCATAAATACATGTCTATCATATAAATAAAAGGACTGATTGATGAGTTGAAGTTTTGAAATTGAAAGGACAAGGAAATGGCCAAACTTAGAAAAGAGATATTGGTGCAGTCCAAACTGAAACACTGTTCGGTAATTGGGTTATATCTAAAGTTGTAGATCTCAGATTTAAATCTGATTTATATAGATGAAAAACTAAGACATAAACCTAAAACTTTCATGATGAAGGCAAGACTTCATTCCGTTGTTTGGAAGTCTAAATCTTAACTACAACGTAAAAGTCTGAATATGTCCTACAACCCAGACATTATTTAGTGTTCAGCCCATATCTCGAGTTCTAAAAGTTCAAATGACCTCCATGGTTTTTTCCTGGAAAGCTAAGACAATTTTCTAGAACTTTCATAGTAAGGTGAGTCCAAATTCTAACGTTATCAATGATGTTTTTGGCAAACAAAAAGATAATGATTGTCACCAAGTCAAGAGTTGGTCACCCACTCATTAATTAGTCATCAAATCAATAGTTATTAATTTTAGCTTATAAAAGGAGGCATTTGTGATGCATTTAGACATCTTGGTTTTCAGATTAAAATCATGTTCTTACTCTTTTTCTTTATATTTTTATAATGCTTAAGTTTTGCTTATATTAATCTCTTGTTTATGCTTCTCAATTCTTTTTCTTTACTTAGTTAACTTCTATCTTATTTATATTCTTATCTTATTTATTTGTTTATCTATTTTATTATGTTTAGTCAAGTTTATTATATCAAGATGAAAAGGTTATACTAATGGTGTAAAAATAAGTACAGTGTAAACTTAACTTGGACTTTAATGTTTGATACTAACATGCTTTATATTTATTATCTTGTTCACTTTTAATACTTTGTTTGTTAAATGGCTAATCTAGATTAATGTTGTATAACTCTTAGTATAATAAATATTTGACACTTTCATAACTCAAACCGTATGGTATAACCGACACTTGTACTATGAAAGGAACTTGATTTGTTGTTAACATAAATTATAATTATAAATGTCTGACAACATTTATAAGTATTAGTATTATTCAAATAAGATAACTAACATAATCATATTAACAATTTATAATCTGATTGGAACCTTATTTGTGTGTGGTTTTCAGTTGAGTAATAGGAGTTTATACTATACTTGTTTAAAATATCATTAATGGATCCTCTAACTTTGACATTTATTTTTTATTATTGTTTGATCCTCATATTGATCTTCCATCTTAAAATTTTTATCAACTTATTATTATTATTTGTTGTTGTTGTATTATTATTGTTTATAATTTATACAATTAACCTCCCTGTAGTTCTACCCTTGTCTTGCCAGGTTATTTATTACTTCGACACTCATGTACTTAAGAAAAGATATCAATATTTTTATCATGTCAGATCACTTTCATTTTTTATGCCCTTTGATCCTCTTTTGATATTCTTTTAGCATATTTTATGCTATTAAAGACCTTTGCTTTTAGAAATTAAGAAAAGAATCTTTCCATGTTTTTCTTTATACTTTAAACCTTTAATGGAGCACATAACCGGCTTTTCTTTCCTGAAATCTTTTTATTTACTCTTATCAAGATACCAATTCCTTTTCCTATTTCAGTTGCAAGCTCCTCAATGATTTTCCTTTTCTTTATTCGTCGAAGTCACATAAAAAGCTTTTGCTTGTGAGTCTTTTCAAGATTTGTCATTTAGCAAAACTTTTTTATTTTTATTTTTTTTTGGCTTATTAGGTTTTTTTATTATGCAGTCTCAATTAAGGTCTCATGGATTATGTTCATAGGTATTTTATATTTTTTGGGTTTTCCAGCTACTCTCTCATAGCTGGTAGACATTCTTAAATACTTTTATTTTTATAATTTTTTAATAATTACTCCTAGTATGGGGTCTGATTTTAGCTAGGATTATTATACAAATAAAAAAACTTCAATTCAGCTCAAATTAGGATTGCAATGGTTATATTTATCTCTAAAGAATATCAAAAAAATCTTTCCTCTCATTTCAAGCAAAATTAGTCATGATTTATAAATTTTGATCTCATCACCTTAATGATTTGCTCAAAATTATTTTGGGAGTTTATGGCTCCCGAAAAAATCATCATATTTGTTTCATGTAGCTTTGGCATAACAAACTTTGATGATTGGATTATTCATTAAGATATTTAATTATCTTTTAGGGAATTACTAGGTGGATCGTTTGTTCTTGATATATTATTAATTTTTTTTAAATCATTTGTCAAAGTGAACTCTTGAAATCCTTTGTTCAAGAGAGCATGATTTTTGAAAAAGGTTATAAGATCATTTTCAAAACAAACAGCAGGATGTAACCAGAATAATAACCACACATTTAGAAAGGCTGAAATAAGCCCAAATTTCGGGGACTTCTATACAAGTTATTAAGCTAGAAGTAACGAGTCACAATCAAACCGAAATTTGAGAGTCTCTTTTGGTACATTATTCGTTATAAACAATGGCAGAATCTGCCAAAGACAAGGACCTGAGAGTGAGCTGAACTGCAATGCAGCAAAATGCTGTGCAATAGGTCCTTGCACTGTTTTTGCAACTTCTCTCTCATTCCTTCTCAACCATCATCAATAAAAACAATAACTTGTTCTTCAAAAGCAATCCTTCTTCTGTCTCTTAAAAAACAAAGTTCACTCTATCATTCACCGTCTCTCACTCTCAAATAATGGATTTGGACGACAACAACAAGAATCAAGAAATTTATTTGATTTCTTAAGCCAAAAGGCCTCCACACCACCTTCATGGGCTTCCCATTTGAATCTAATTCCTCCTTATATGTTTTCTCATGGTCATCTCCTGCTACTAGCTAGATTATGAGTTTCCACTTAATATGGAATCCAGAGGCTTAGGTAAGAAAGCCTCTAAGGCGTAGCCTTCAAGAAGTACTGCTCAGATTTGATTCCAATATCTGTTATGCGTGAAGGAGGAGAAGAATCATAAGAACGCAGAGAAGAGGATATAATAGGATAACAGAATTGGAACAACAGAAAAGAGGAAGGAAGATTCTGATTGTGCTGAATTTCCTGACACTGTTTCATTCCCTCATGTTGTTATATATTAGTTACAAGAGAACATTCAGGTGGTTGGCTCTCCTAGTTTTCAGCACACGTGGAAACAGAGTTCCATTACTGTTTGTGCCCCTTCTTCCAAAGGAATCTCTTGGTCTTGAACCCTGGCTGGTGGCAAACCCTTAGGTTCATTGAAGAGTTCCTGGTAATGATCGAAGAGATACTCCAAGGCCTCATTCCTTTCTTCTTCAGATGCTTCAGCATTCAGCAGAGTATTCCCTCTTGTCATTTTCTATGATAGCTAGGCTGCATAGTCTCAATTTTGCTAGTTGGTTAGAATTTTTCATTATACTGTTGAGTTTTTCATTCATGATGGCTTGTAAGCTGGTTGGTTTATCTCCCTGCAAAATCACCTCTCACCATTGCCATTTGAATGGCATTCATAGCTCCTGATAATTGGATAAGATGTTGGGAGATGTTTCCCAATGTTGTCAGCCACTGAATACCTAGCACCATGTCATGACCATGTATTTCAACAAAGTAGATATCTGCCATGAAGTTCATTCCCTGCATCTTCCACTGAAAGTCTTTGCTTATTATAGTACACCTCATTCTTCCCCCATCAGTAGTCTGCATCATTAGAGGTTTTATTCCTATAGAGTTGCGCTGTATCTTGTTGGATGAATCCCTGTTTAGGAAGTTATGTGTGCTTCAAGAGTCAATCAGAATGTGGAGGGTATGCCTCTATACTTTGCCAGTCACCTTCAGGGTGTGATAACCAGCTATGCCTTCAAGTGCATTGGGTGAAATGTGGGGGGTGATGACTCTTGTACTAGTCTCATCGTCTCTTCCCTCCTGTTCTTCATCATCCTCATCGTCCTCGAGTATGCATATGGAGTATAGTCTCCTTTGTTGAGTGCCCCAATCTGCCTTAGTTCCATCAACTCCTCTAAAGGATCTTTTTGACCTCTGAATCTAAAACACACAGCCTCTACATAGTCTTCCCAAGTGATTGCATGATTCGCTAAGCTTCTCATAAAATTTTGATGCCAATATAGGGCTGCCCCATCCAAGTAATAGGATGCCATTTTGAGTCTACTTCTTCTAACTTAAAGCATTGAGTACATTTATATAGCCATTTATGTACATCTTCTCCATCAAAGTAGGTGAAATCTCTTATAGGCTTACGTACCTTGCAGGATGATGACCTCTTTAATAGTGCTTGCATTTCTTAGCAAAGGATTCATCCAGTTGATTGTCTCATCTACCTTTATATGTGCTGGTTCCACCAACTGGCTGTTAGAGAGATTACAGAAAGGAATTTTGCTGGAAGGATATTCTGCTAATAAGATTTGTCAGCTCTGTGAACTTCTTTTCTTGCTCAGTCTTGTTGGCTTCCATCATGGTCAGCATCTGCTCACATTTCTGAGCTTGTTCCCTGCTGGCAGACTCAAGTGACTCTGCTAACTTTCTCATATCCTGGGCCCCAGTGTCTGGTGCCATTTCAATGCTCCGATGAAGACCTGCTCTGATACCCCTTGTTACTAGCTAGATTGTGAGTTTCCAATTAATATGGAATCCAGAGGCTTAGATAAGAAAGCTTTTAATGCGTAAGCGTAACCTTCAAGAAGTACTGGTCAGATTTGATTCCAGTGTGTTATGCGTGAAGGAGAAAAGGAATAAGAACGCAGAGAAGAAGACAGAATAGGACAACAGAATTGGAACAACGGAGAAGAGGAAGGAAGATTCTGATTGTGCTGAATTTCCTGACACTGTTTCATTCCCGCAGGTTGTACAAGAGAACTTTCAGGTGGTTGGCTGTCCTAGTTGTCAACACACGTGGAAACAGTGTTCCCTACGCTGTCGTTTAGTGCTCTTGCAATCAGAGGCAATGTTATTCAGTTAAGTGAAACGGTGCGTATTGCATTAAGTTTATAACTTGCAACGGTCACTAAGTTCAAATTTTCAATTGCCAGTTCTTTCTTCCAATCTTCCCAATCCTCCTTGTTCTTCATTTCTCGTTCCTAACATCTCCCTACTCCTATTCACACTGAAGTCTATGTAAAGGTAATTTTTTTATTGCTTTTATGATCAATTCAAGTTATTTCAAGAAACCCCAACATGAAATTTTGGTTCTTTCTTTGTTTTTTTGGGTGTGGATGGATTTGTTCATGTAGAGGGATGGTTTTTCAGGGATGCAAATGAGTGTTAACAAAGTGAGAAAGTTGGAGTTCTTAATTGCTGATGTCGTGGCTCAAGGGAGAATCTCACTAATAATAGATGGAAGTTTATTTTATTACTATTTCTATTACTATCAGCAGTAGCATTCATAATAGTAGAAGAGGGAAGGGAAGTTTATGGCCAAAGTAAAAAAATTATGAGCTGTGGCATGCAATATGAGATAAAATTGTGTAACTTCAAGAGTTCTTGTCAGAGAAATTTTGAGGCACTAAACAACTCTAGACTATATATAGTGAGGTTAGGTAATGTTTGCTGCTGCTGAACCATTATTGCTTCCTGTCGGAATTTAGGTAAGCTGCAGGGGATCCTTCTCTAGAAAAACCATTTCCAAAACTATTAAATGGTTTGAGGCCTTTTAAATATGTCTCTTAATCATCACCAGGACATTATAGCATCCATCTATTTCACCAAATTAATCTATGATATAATCATGATATCACTGTTGTGGATGGTTCAAGTCAGCCGGCTGCTATGTCCTGCTTTCTATCAAGACTCTTCAAAATACCACACCATCGCTAAATTTATAACTTATCATCATAAGAGCCACCAAGACTCCAAGTTTATTACTGTCAGCATAATCAATTCAAAATCACCATCCATTCAAAATCATAAGTATGCAATTTTGAGAGCGGGGCGTACTACTTCATGCAAAACTGCTGAAGTCTGCGACTGTTTTTGGACTTTCCCTCGCACGATCCGCTTTCATGAGAAATACTCAGGCACTGAACTCTCTTTCATTGTCAGTTGCATTTGTTTCAAGTTATTAGGCCATAGTTTACTGCTAAAATTAAAATAAACAAAAGAACTAGGAAAGAAGAGGGGGCAATTTGTAGGCCAACGTAATTTTAATGTGAATTTGCTGTCATTAATAGCCATCCAAAGTTCCTTTTTAGCATTAAACCAGTGATTGAAGACTCAAGGTTGAAAGTCTTGGGAATTGGAGGAGTTTGCAGTTCATAATATTTGCTTTTCTGATATAACATTAATGCCCTTAACATGCAACCAGCAATTTATTAAGGGATCCTAAAACGGAGTCGATGCATTTCAAAATCAGAGTATCATGATTGAAAATTATGCTAGGTTACCTCTGTTTTATTTTCCTTATTTAAAATATTTATATTGTAATCAAACAAAAGAAAATACTCATGGTTCAATGAAATTTCTCCACAGGTCACCTGCTTTTGCATCCAAACCAAATGCAGCATGAATACGTGGCTTCTAGAATTGCCCATGAAGTCAATTGAGCTATCTTCCTCTTTGTTCTCTATTAACTGATAAGTGTAACGAGGGACATGATCAATGGTCATGTCCAAAGTGGGTGTAAGTATTCAGAAGGTTCATGGTTGATGGCTAGAGGCCAACTAAGAGGAACTAGCATGGCTCAATGCTTTGGGTAAAATTAAAATTTAGTGAGGATAGGTCAAAATAACTAATATAGTATTATTGTTAAAATCACGTTTTAACCCGTAAAATCATATAATTTTATGAGTCAAAACATGTTTTGCGTGCTGAATCATTTGAAAAAATCAAAAATCGGTGAAATCGAATTGAAATCAAGTAAAATCACAAAAAATCACGATTTCAAGTGGAGTCTATGTAGAGTTTGTGGACTGTGAAATAATAAAATTATTTTAGATTGTCATTTAAGTATATGTACTTAAGCAGATTGAAAGTGTTAGTTTAGAATGTTATTTTATTAATGGAATGATGGAATGATTTTATGAAAAATTTAATTGTATAGTATATATACTGAAGCACATTGAAAGTATTATAGTTTTGTGAATTGTTATGCACAACAAAAAGTTAATTACAATCATAAAATATTTGGATTGATTACAGGGTTAATTTGAGTTGATTCTTGAATTGTTGAACTTATGGCATCTAGAAAAAATTCTTCTGGTAATAAACTTGATGTAAGATGGCAACATGGTATAGATATTAATAAGAATTCTAGAAAATTTTAGTACAAGTATTATCAAAAAAAATTGAGTTGAGGTATTTTTCATTTCAAACAGCATTTAGCTTGCACTCGTAAGGATGTTGAGCTATGTCAACAAGTTCCAGAAAATGTTAAGCAAATGATTATGAATCTTTTGGTAAAATATCTAGAAGCAAATGAAAAGAAAAGAAAGGCCCATCAATATAGTGTAAATGATGATAATGATGAAATAAATCCAAGGACAAAGGAAAAGGAGAAGCTAGTAAGAGTGGAAGTATACAAACAATCTTAAATCAATTGCTAAAAAAAAATATTATAGAAGAAGCATGTTGACAAATTGCAAGGTTTTTCTATACTAGCGTAATTCCATTTAATTATGTAAAAAACCTTGAGTTTGTAAAGGCACTTGAATTGGTTGTAAAGCATGGGCCAGGTTTCAAACTTCCATCCTGCCATGATATCAAAGAGAAGTATTTGAAGCAAGAAGTGGATCAAACAATGACATTACTTGAGGAGTACAAGCTAAATTGAAAAAAAAAAAAAAACATGTTGTTCAATAATGTCTAATAGATGGATAGATTAAAAAAAAAAAGACGTTGTATTTGTAATTTTTTGGTTAATAGTCATAAAGGGACAATTTTTTTTGTCATCAGTGAATACTTCTAATATGTCCAAGACTACTGATAAGATATCTGAAATGTTAGATGTCATTATAGAGAGGATTAGGGAGGAAAATGTTGTCCAAGTAGTCACCGATAATGTTACAATTTATAAGGCAACAAGATAATTATTGATGGGAAAAAAAAAGTTTGTTTTGGACATCATTTGCTACCCATTGTATTGAGTTGATATTGGAAGATTTTTTAAAAAAAGTTAGAAGTTCATTAAGCAACTATTGCAAGAGAAAGAGAATCACATCATATATTTATTCAAGACCTATTCTTATTTACATATTAAGGCATTTTACAAAAGAAAGGGATTTGATTAGGTCTGCTGCCACTCGGTTTGCTTCTGCATATTTGACTCTGGGATGTTTGAATGATCATAAAATACAGTTGATAACCATGTTTACTTCCAATGGAATTTATGTAAGTTTGCAAAATAGAAGAAGAGAAACAAATTCAAAATTGTGTTTTGGATAGCAAGTTTTGGCATAATATCACTATATGTATTAAGACAATATATCCTTTAATTAAAGTTTTTTGATTAGTTGATTCAGATGAGAAACTAGCTATGGATTTTATATATAAAGCAATGGATAAAGCAAAAAAAAAAGAAAAAAGATAGAAGTGAATTTTGGTTCTATGAAAATATATATATATATATATATCTTGCTAATTTTTATTTCAAATTTTATCATTGATTAATATGAATGTCTTTAGAGATACTTTCAATTGAGCTATTCCTACATTGTAATGATATTTTTATTGTTTTTTTATATTATATACCTATATGAAATATTGTTGATGCAAGATAGGAATTTCAACTTTCTAGGCCCTTACATGCAGCAATTTATTATTTGAATTCTCATTGTTATTATAATCCCAATTTTAAGGTTAACACCAACATTAAAATTGGATTATATCAATGCTTAGCAAGGATGATGCCTAATGCAAGTGAAAAGTGCAAAATTGACTTGCAACTTGAATCATTCAAGGTTGCAGAAAGATTGTTTGGCATTGAGGCTGCCAAGACAACAAGAGATTAAAAAAACTCCAGCTTAATGGTGGGATTCTTACGGGGATGAATGTCCAGAATTACAAAGGTTTATAATCCGAGTTCTAAGCTTGACTTGTATTTCATCTGAATGTGAGCGTAACTGGAGTGCATTTGAAATGGTAAGTTTTTTTTATTTTATTATTTCAAATGTTGAAATATTTGATAAAAATCTTATAAATTTAAATTGTTTATTTAGGTTCATACAAAATGAAGAAATTGTTTGCACCAAAGAAAAATGAATAACTTGGTATTTATAATGTACAATCTGAAATTGAATAATAATCAAGTCAAAAAACAAGTTGATGATTTTGATGTAAAAGATGATCGTTCATTTGCTGATGATTGGATAACCGAGGAAGAAAAACGTTCAAACATTGATTTGCTTAGTATTATTAATAGTGCAACACAAAAAAAAATGGTAATGAAGATGAAAATGATGAAGAAGAAATTCCTAACAATGTTGAAATGGAGATTCATGATACTAAAGATGATTTAGAGATTCAAATTAATGATATTGGTTTTGATACTAGTAGTAGCACTAATATTCATAATATTAGTGTTGGTATTAGTAGTGACACTAATAATCCTCTTGATGCTAATAAAATTGATGAATGTCTAAGGAATAATTAGAAAGATGGAGGCAATGAAACTAGTTTTAGTTTACATGACACACCAGCAAATTTTTTGTTTTAAGTTTGTTAATTATTAGCTAATGAAAAGTTATTAAAATTATGTATGAATTTTTATTTGAACCATGTATTTTAAGGTGTTTGAACTAAGTATGAATTTTATTTGAAACATGTATTTTCAAGTGCTTAAACTATATATGAATTTTTATTTAAAGCATGAATTTTTTGTTAATGTATTTTAAAATTCCTTATGATTTTATGATTTTACAATTTATTTTTACGATCTAAGTTTGTTTTGTATTTTTCGTGCCGTGTCAAAATCACGATTTTAACAACCTTGATTACAAGTTGACATTAAGAATGCCTTCTGAATCAGCTTTAATCATGAATGCAAGTTTATAATATAAAGATCCAGAAGTTCGTTGATGCTCTCATTGTGTTATCCTTGTGGTGGGAAAGATGTTTATGGAATGATGAAAGACATGGAAGAAAATCCTAAGAATTGAGAAGGGAAAAAGGTCCTTTTCCTACATATAGTAGGGCTTCTTGGATTATGAAAAATTCCACTGTATCCTCTAATTTATATTTATTTTCATTTTAGCCCTTAATAATTTGAATTGATTGCTTGATTTTAATGTTTTTTTCAAGTTTATTGTTTTACAATTTCATTCCTAAGTATTTTATTTCATTTAATTTATGTATTCAATTTTATTCTTATTTTTTTAATTGTTGTTTTTAATTTTTTTTTCTTGATTATTTTTTTAATTT